TACACTACCAGTGGCATTGTAGTATATGGTTATAAGCTATCTGGGGGCAAGCTTTAGTGACATCAAAGGTTCTAAAAACATCCATGTTCTTGAACCAAGTAGCTCTAACTTTTAGGAATACAAGGTAAGAAAACAGATATAAGTGGAAAAATGAATACCGCCCCCCCCAACCCCAAAACAAAGACATCCCAGTAAAACAGCAAAAAAGGAAGCAATTTAAATAACAGGATGCTCCTAAATTGTATCAAGACAACACGTAGTATATATGTAAGTGTTTGGGGAAGCGATGTGCATCTTATCGTCATGGAGAGAAGCTCGTGTTTCATAGCAATGTAAAGAGGTCAGCATACAGATTAATAGTTAAAATTATGTACAGTTGTAATGCTTCTATAGGAAGGCTAAACTCTAGTATGATATATAGCAAAATGTTTATGGAAGTCATTTTTTATTGTGGTTGATTAGAAAAAATTTTTTACTTGAGTGTAATTTTTAAAGTTTCCTTTTTTTTTTTTGCTGATAGTTTTACCAACAAAGTTCTAATGATAAGGCTCTAGACACATTTAAAGTGTTTTTCATACACACAGCAATAAAACAGCATTAAATAGTGATAAGAACACATTAGATGAGGACTAAAAATATCTGGTGTTGTCCCACTCCACTAGTAGCTGTGTCACCTTGAACAAAAAAACAACAACAGCAGTTTACTCAACTGAAAAACGGGAGTAAATAATGGTGGCCTAATCTACCGTACAATGATGTTGTGAAGATCAAGTAAAATGATGTGTATTTAAATGTTTTGAAAAATGTAAAATATTATGAAAATGATGGAATAATCAATATTACCACTTAAATCAGGTAAACATAAAAAATGTCAGTTTGCTCTCTTAACTTATTTTGGCAATGTTACTCTCATATAGTGAATATATTGTTTACAATCCAGTCCTATGTGTGATTTTGCTCAATGCTGAGATACATATGGTGACATGAAGGCAAATCTATAATCCTCTGGCCCAGAAATCATATAATATACAGCAAAACTCTAACCAGAGCAAATGGCTAGATGAAGCAGTTACGTGGTCTACCAATGGACACTGAAAGCTCCTACTACCTCAACATAACGCTCTGCCTTCTCTTTCCTACAAACAGCAATCAAGTCACCTGAAATTCTTACACCTGTCATTCATAAATTGGGGTAAGAACCTGAAGGCTACTATTAAAACACAAGTGTGTGTGTGTTAACATATTAAATTATTATTTTCTATTAATATAATGAAAATTGCTTATTAGACTAGCTATGACTCATCTAGCAAGAAGACTGGAACAAAGGAACCATTCCCTTCTAAAATTTAAATATCCTCAAAGGTCCTGTGGCTGAGAAGGTGAGGGAAGGGAGAGAGGCAGCACGAGATTGGGCTCGGATCAGGAGATCCGCTATGGCAGGAAGCCTGCTTAAGAGCGTAGTGAGGATGAAGACGTCCTTGTCATCTTTCCAACTGGCGCAGGACTAGCCTGACTCTAAAAGTAATAGCAATAATATATTTGCCCAAATAATTACTCTCTATTTAGTTCACTGATAAACCATCAAGATTATTTTCTATTGAAAACCACATATTTTTGAAACAACTGCCATAACAATATATCAATTCCCCCAAAGACGCATCTCCTTTATCTCCTAGTTGCAGCTATATAAAATAAAATTGAGAATTTTATTATTTTCCTTCCCATATGGGGATGCTTATTCAACTCCACGCCTCTTAACTCTCACTGTGGCACTAAGCTAATTATAAAAGTCTGTTTAAATCTATCCACCTGTCTTTTGTTTTGTTGCCTACCTGGGCCTTTTCCAAAGCGGGCAGAAAATCTCCAATCAGTCTGTTATCACAACCAGAACATAAGAGATTAGTGACCACGGAGAGAAGCAGAGTCAGTTTACATCCTTTCAGGCTAGAGAATGATACCACTTCACAAGCAAGAAATCTGAGGCTCCCTGACCTTAATGTAGAAAACCTGCAGCTAATAATCACATTAAAGTTGGTCTTACATGCCAGTTTTTGTTTCCTCTGTTGTTTGTTACAATTTGAGTGTCCTTTGTGGTTATCCAAATTATTTGCTGAAAGGCATATATTAACATTTAAAACATTTACTCTATGGTAAAGTAAGTCTTATCGTTTAGGCATCTCTGAGTTAAATTATACTTTGTATTAATTTTTTGCAAAGCTAATAACATTGCTTGTATTTATCCAGAGTGGAATTTAGCAATTTAACTCATTAATTATGACAATGAATACACTGAAAAACTCCTTTCTTAACTGAGGAATAAATGGATTTTTCACTGTATCTGCCAACCTAAATCAAGAATATAAAGACCCCACCATGGCCACACTCTCACCCCTCCCCGCAAAGGTCAGTTATTTCTCAAAGGGAAGAGAACTAAGCCCGAAGCTAAAATTTAGCAAGGAAAACGGGTCAAAGAACAGATGTACAGAGCTGGGAGAACTGATACAGGTGACCAGGTCGATATGCAGAGGTCCAATCACAGCAAACTGAACTTGATTTCTTTTTCATAATCAAATACTTAATGAAAACAAATCTAACACCATAAGCCAAAAAGTAGTGTAAGTGCTCTTCTAAAGTGTGGTTAACTTTCACTTAACATTCTAGTAAAAGAACTGTATTGGCTGAACCCATTCCAGCTGCTTCAATGTAATTTACTGCGTGTTCACTAAAATGAGTTATCTATAAGTCTTCAGACACCTGTTCTCTTTTAGAGAGAGTAATTTACGTGTGTGTGTGTGTGTGTGTGTGTGTGTGTGTGTGTGTGTGTGTTGGGTTGTCGCAAAAGTCATGACGTCTTTTACCTGATGTTTTTCGTTGCAAAAATGCGTCATGACTTTTCCGACAACCCAATAGTTACTGAAATGAAATGTGCAGGCCAGCTCTGGAGGTGACGCTCACTGAATGAAAATACAGTGAGTCTATATACATGTATACTGCCATAGAAGAAAAGTTACAATGGCATTTTTGGTGTCAAAAAAGTTTAGGTATACTAAATATTGATTTCCAAGGTACTGTTGGTATTATGAAAATAGAACTAATACTCAGAGGAGTAAAAAAAAAAATGTCATGCTTGCTACTTCCATGATAAGAGGAAAAAATATCTGTTACAGACATAGAATTAGTCTTCTCTTCAATTCTGGGAAAGAGAAGCTCGATGGCAGTTTTCTGGGGGAAAAAATGGAAACATATGGAATGAATTTGCAAAAGTTTGAAAAGATGTCTTTGCCTACACAAGGCTGTACTAAGACTACTCTTGTAAATTATGCGTAGATTTTCTAGATCTATGATACTAACTAGCCATCTTAAGGCTATGTTGATTACATCATGTATATTCTTAGCATTTAAATTTTCATCTCTATCCTCTTAAAATATAGATTAAAAATTTAGCCGGATTTTAATAACAAATGTAAAATGTTGCTCTATTCAGTTTCTACCTGCCTTTGCCGTTATTAACTGTAAGGTCTCAGGAATAATTTTTTAAAAGTTAAAGGCAGCACTGTCCTCAAAGGAGACACTAAATTATGAACTATTATTTCTCATTAGGCTATTGAACTAAAAATTTGGGGGCCCTATTAAACCAATGGTTGTTTTATAACTTGCTAAAAGTTATTTTAATTTTTGTTAATCATTATATTAACAGTGTGTAGTTGTAGAATTAGAAGGCCACAGTACTTAAAAACATATCCTTATAGTTCTTTTCCAGTTGCCTAAGATAATTGGTCTCCTCATGAAACATCACAAAAAAAACCAAAAAACAAAACAAAGTTACAAAATTCAGGAGCTATTTTTCCAAGGGATCAAACTTTAACTAAAGCCAAAATAAGGCACAAATCTTATAAAAATTCAAATACTAGTCTCCTAAGTATAGTTTTTAAAAGACCTATATATTAAAAACATTCATATATATGATTTTAAAATTCTCAAAGCAGTTCCTATTAAAAAAAATTGTAAATTTGTTTCTAAATTAAAAAGTGGAAGTTTACTATGAAAAATAACTTACAGCATTTTATGTAACAAGTTTTTTTTGGTAGTTGTGCTTATTAATCATTTTTCAGAGTTTTAAAATTGCACATTATCAAGAAAGACCCAAAGGTATACTAACAGAATTGGGGAGGAGATTTGAATCTTTGCTTTCAGTAACTCCTTAAATATTTTAAATCTATAGGATTTATTTAAAGTAAATTCAGTAAAGTATTTATTTAGTAAAGAATATTTACTGTCACTTACGAAAATAAAGACCATACTGATGAAAATAAAGATTTATCTCAATTTCAAGTAAATATTTACTGAGTAGTACATGTCAGGTGCTATGGTAGGTGCTTTTTGTAAGATTCTCCGCCCAAAATTTCCTAAATAAAAGCACCCAAAACATTAAATCTAAAACTTTTAGGTAAACACTTTGTTCTGTAAATGTTAGGTATGGCTAGTCATTTTGTGTGTGTGTGTGTGTGTGTGTGTGTGTGTGTGTGTGTGTGTGTAGATGGTAGATATCATCCTTGAAATAAAAACAAACGTTATAGGAATAGTGCTCATTTAATTAATGCAAACCACCTGTCTAAATACCTATAGCAGTCTGTGTAATTTAATGTTAAAAAGATCCAGCTGAAATATAACTTCTCTAATTCTGATCAGTCTGAGAACTATATTTTCCCACAGCTAAAGGGGTCACTCTAAACACGAAAACTAGCATTGTTTTTCTGTGATTAGGTTACAGTAGCTTAAGTCTCTAAACACTAGAATTCCTCAAACAGCTGTTAATTGTGGACCAGGGGACTGGCTGACATCTGCTTCTTGCTTATTTCGTTAATGGTTCACTTCCAGGTCCTAAAAGGATTGTTGCCTTTCTCCAAAGATAATGTCAGAGGCATCTATTTCTGCCTTCTACATAGTTGGCTTGTTCTGGTTTGTCACTCTCCATACAATGCAAATCTGAGTGAACTCACATCTGTCACCGATCGACCCAATTCGTGGGCAATCTTTTCCCATCGACCTGGGGTCCCTCCTGGGAACTTAACCATACTTCTTGTCAGCTGGCTGAGGTCCTCTTCTGACCATTCAGGTGCCTGCAAAACATTAAAGGGGGGGGGGGGAAAGATACTTTAGAGAATGTTTGCTAATAAATTTAATAAGCTTGTGAAATAAGCTATTGGCACTATGTTTTCTGCAAAAACAATACTATTACAATGTATCTGATAGAGGTTTGAGTTGCATATTTAACATTAGAATACAAAGTTCCAGCAGCCTTTTAAAATTTCCTATATATACCAAATAAGCAGAAATATTGCAAAGCCAGGCTTTTGAACACACATAAAAAAAAAAAAAAGGCAAGTCAGTTTTGCATTAAAGTGAGAAACCATCCTCAAAGCCTATGAGATGCACTGTGTCATTTCTGCTCACAAATGCCTCATTTGCGGTATAAAAGGTCTTAACAGTTTGAAGAAAAATTGTTTTTTTCCTTTAAGGTATAAACATAAATGAAAATATGAACAAGTAAATGTGCTGATTTAGAATCAGAACTGAGACAAAGATATATTTTGTTCCTTCTACATAACAATATTTAATTCTAAAAATCATGTATTTTTAGGAAGTTTAATTTATCAAATGCTAGCATTTTTTAAAACTCGGGAATAGAAATAAAATTAGAAACTCATGAGACCAACACTTAAACCATCAAGTCCATGCAAAATATTTCATTGTTGAGAAGGTAAATAGCTTCTGATCAAATTATTAAATTGAGTAATAAAATACCTGAAATATTACAAAATCTTTTTTTGCAAAGGCAAGAATTCTAAGAGCAAGCACATTCTCTGCATTTTATTCACCACCCACTCACTACCTGGTCAAACCCAAAGCTGAACAAAGCAAAAGAAACTATGGTCAAGTAGCAAACAACCATGTTACAATTATTCTAACGTTACATTTTAGCACTAAACTATTCCCTACCAGAGGCAGTAACAACTCTGGTATTAAACAATACTCTAGGAGTCAGTAGAGAGAAGGAGGAAGCCCACCTTATTTTCCTTTAATTAAAAAAAAAAAAAGAAAGAAAAAAAAGAAGGAAACCTTTGAGACAAATACCTTTTCTAATCACCATTTCCGATAATGAACAGGCATACATCAGGCCGTTTGCATTACAGAACCATCAGCAGAGAACAACAGTCAGAGGTGAGTGACCCCAGGGACTATCTCCACAGCTACAGCAAAGCTTCTCCCTGACACTAATCCTCCCTGTCATTCTCCCACTGTGCTCTGACCACACTGACATCCGCCTGCCTCACTGCAAGCTTAACGGGGCCCTTCCTGACTTTTTACTGTCTCCCCCAATCAATGGTTCAAGCGTGCTCTTTTCACCATGTCCAAATGGCAGCTTCACTCATAATCAAAGTGCACTGCCCCTGTTAAAGGGCTTTCCGAAAGGCTCTGCCATTTGCATTCATTTGCAAAGCAAACTACTTTTATTCACTTTGTTCTGCTATCAAGAATGTTCCCTGAAGCAGATAAATTGGCATAAATACAACCTGCCACTTAAGAATCAGTAAATAATAGCCAATAGTAGGGAGGATTTTATCAATCATTCTATTTTGTATCCACTAAAAGCTGAAAGCCTCAAACATATTCATCAGTACAACCCCTAGGAACCATGCATAAATTCACTTCTTTAAAAAGGTAGCCTACATTGGGTATGGTTGAAATTTCTTTGATATTTAATGAATATCAGGAATCTAATTCTCCATATCGGGTAATTAAACAATTTACACTGACGGGGTTTTTTTTTTCCCGTTCTTTTTGTTTTCACTTTGGTTAGGGGGAAAAGTATTACCCAGATATTATTTAGAGGGACATAACTGGGTTTTCAAGGAAAGGAGATTTTTATTGCTAAAACGCTGAAACTTAAATAACTACACATCAGTTGGTTTCAGAAATGCTAAAGAGCTCAGAAGAATTTAAATATCAGCTTATAGTACAGTCACACCAAAAAGAGCATTAAGTTGACATTACAGAGCTATAGTATTCAAACTACATATCAATGCAATTTCACACTAAATCAAATCATCTTATTTCTACATTAATTAAGACACACATTTTTGGAACAAACAAAATTGTCTTAAATGTCAATAATAGAAAGCCAATGTTTCATAGTCAAAAGCTCTTTAAAATACTGTTTATTTTTAATAGGCTTTCCAAATAGCTGCATAGATGAACAATGGGCATTAAAAAATCAGTCTGATTTTAATTCCTTTTTAATAAGATGAGTCGAAAAGCACAGTGTCATTTTTTTTCCCTGGGAAGGAAAAAAATTTTATTTATTTATTTTTACTAGTTTCAGGTGTACAAAACAATGCAATAGTTCTACTTTTCACCCCTCACAAAGTGACAGCCCCCCTCCCCCAATCCACTGCCCCCCTGGGAAGGAAAAATTTTAAATAAAATATTTGGACTAATATCCTGAAAAATTATTGACTGCTATGACAGGCTTTCCTTTTAGTTTCATAGTTATTTCACGGCCGTGATTTTTATTATTAATATTAAAACTAGATCGATAATAACGAAGGCCATCATCTGAAATCTTTGAGAGAATCCTTTTAGCAATTCATTATTCTGTCTCCTACAGCTGTCAGGCACTTTGGTGAATGTGTAATTCCTCAGCAGTGGTTAGTTGTGTCTTTAGAAGCAACAGAGCCTACTGAGATAGAGCTACTACAGCAGCCATGAGGGTGGTCACGGTGTGAATGTATTCTCCTTGTTTTAATCTGGAGCCAACTGTAGCTGTGAAAGTCAAATGAATGCATAAGCATACTGCTTTGCCACTTAAAACCATGTGTGTCCAATATTACTGAGACACTGGGCCAAAAATTCATCTCTCTAGTAAAGTAATGGAAGGTACCACATGGTGTGGGGACAGCTGTTGTGACTACACAAGCATTCCAATTTTGCATCAAAAAAGCCTCACTCTGGGAATAAATCTCCATACTGAATATAAAATAAAAAGTAAGTTTTCAAATTATTCAATACTTTTATATAATGGCCCAAAAATAAAACTAAACGACCCAAAACTAAAGTTAAGAGCTGATATGAAAATTTAAATTGTATTCCCAAATAATGTCCCTTTGGGATAGATTTTTGTCAGAAAACCAGCAAAGATTTGGTGCCTTTGAATATCCTTACTATTTTTGAGGGACAGGAGTTGGAGGCTGTAGTGAAAAGCACGTATTTTTAAAGTAATCTATACACACTTTCCCTCTCTCACAGCTTTAGACCATAAAATGTTAATTACAAAGTATCTTGCAATTTGGTACTGGAAATTTATGACCAAATTAAAAGAATTTCAAATGTACTAATTATTTATTATATTTTCATACTTTAATGACAAAAGGTTCATTTCTGTCTATTAAGTAGATATTGAACCTTCCTTGTAAGCAGTTTTATTGAAATGACCTATTAATAATCATTATTTGTAATAAAGAAGTTGCAATTTTGTACTAAATTTTTAATACATTCAGCTCAACTCATTAAATTCTCAGAAATGTTACTTAGGAACATCACTAGTTCAACTATCAGATGTATATCTAATAATGTGGATGGTAATCTAATAATCTTCTACCCTCTATGTTCTATACTGATTTTACATTTTTGAAAGGTGCATTTGGCTTTCAGCTATACAATTTTCCTTTTCAATTAAAAAATTGAGCAGTTAAGTGGTCTTGACTATATATGTGGATAAATTATATGTTAAGAAAAAAAAATCAAACAACAAAAGTCAAACAAATTACTTCAAATGTCTTTTCACTTTTAGGGAGAAACTTATTTATTTTTAAAAAATTATTATTATTTTTAATTATTGGGGAGCAGTGTGTTTTTCCAGGACCGATCAGCTTGAAGTCAAGCAGTCATTTCAATCTAGCTGTGAAAGGCGCACCTCAGTGGCTCATGTGGGAATCGAACCAGCAACCTTGGTGTTATGAGTATTATGCCCTGCACTCTAACCACCTGAGCCAACCGGCCGTCCCGGGAGAAACTTATTTGAAAAGCTTGAAACTCATCCCAAACTATCGTTCTAATGTCATGATCCTTTAGCAGCAATCATTATTTTATGCTGTGTCCAGAAAGGTCTCCTCATGGTTTGGCTTCCTTAACTAAAAAGAGGTCCCCTCTGGACCAGTAATTGTAAAGTGTGGTCTTTGAGCTGGCACCAACCTGCAAACTATTACCCATCTGTGACAAAGTAAGTTCAGAAACTTAGAGAAAGGGTTAGAAACAGAACAATTTAATATTGCCGCAACAACGAATTATATAGTCAGTCAACTCCTTTTAAAGAGAATATAAGCCCGGTGGGGTACTGTCAAACTAGCATGGTGGGTCACATGAAGTGGGGGCTCCATTCTTGTTAGGCACAACAGACTACAGATTAGTCAGTAACGAACAGAAATAAACACTTTTAAAACCTAGTCTTTTTACTACAGCTCGTTTGAAAAACACTGCTCAACACAATGCTTGTGTATGACAAACTATTGGAGGGATTTTTTTTTTAATTGAGGTATAATCGACAGGCATTATATTAGTTTCAGGTGTACAACATGATTCAATATTTGTATATATTGTGAAATGATCAAAGTAAGTCTAATTAACATCTGTCATCACACAGCTACAGAATATTTTTTCTTGTGATGAGAACTTTTAAGATTTACTCTCAGCAGCTTTCTTTTCTTTTCTTTCTTTTTTTTTTTTTTGAGAGGTAGAGGAGCAAAGAAGTGTACTGAAGCGGAAGTACAGTTCTCTTATGAGAGGGGATATCCGAAACGGAGATGCCACTCTTAGCAACTTTCAAATATAAAATATAATATTAACTATAGTTGCCATTCTGTACATTACATCTCCATGACTTATTTTATAATTGTAAGTTTGTACTTTTTGACTCCCTTCATCCCTTTCACCTTTCTGCCCCTCCCACCACTAGCAACCACCAATCTGTTTTGTGGTTTTTTTTTAAAGATTCCGCATATAAGTGAGATCACACAATATTTTTCTCTGACTTATTTCACTTAGCATATTATTCCATTGTGTG